AATACTATAATACTTATAAGCTTAGTGCTGTACTAGGCTGCCCTAGCCTCTTTTATCTTTCTTTTATAAGTAATAGTTATAGTTGTCTTGCTACTTAGAGTCTTCTTTATCTTAATAAAGTATAGAGGTTACAAAATAGCTAGGGCTGTCTTAGGACGCTTAAGAATCTTTATTATTTATAATAGTAATATTTTAATCAGGTTAGTCTAGAATTTAGCTATATATATATAGTTAAATTTGTTATATAACTTTTTTATTAGTTCTTTCTTTGCTGCTTGCTCCTTAGCCTTAAGCTTATTACTTTAATTCTTATAGTTCTGCTAGAATATAAGTTATTCTTTATAATTATAATCTCTTATAAACTTTACTAATAAATCCTTAGAATTTAAAATATAGCTATATAGCCTTATTTATTTTTTTCTTAAGATTATAAGATATATAATCTTTATTATATAAAAGATCTATAATCTCTACTAGTGTTTACTAATATATATAAACAAATAAAGGGCTTAAGAGATAAATTAATAAATCTTATTAGCAAAATCAGAGATAGGAATAAATTTAACTAGGTCTATTATATTAATTTGTAACCTTTTATAAAGTCGTTGGTAAAGATGTGATTTCTTTCTTAATACTAATATTAACCAGAAATAAAGCTTTAAAATTACTCTTTATTATGATAATAAGGATCCTTATAGCTTCTTTATTAGTTGCGTTACTAGGCCTACTTATAATATCTTAGTAATAAGTAGCTCTTTTCCTAATTGCTCTTGTGCCTAATCTTGTCTTAAAGGTCTATAATCTAATCCTTTTCTTAGACTTCTGCTTTATAAGAAAGCCATCAAAAATCCTTTAAGAATATAGCAAGATCTTGCTACCTTTATTATAAATAATAATACTCTTTATAAGTAATCTTTTATTAAAATAAAGAATTAAATTAAGTTAAAAGATCTGTAAATATATCTGAAATCTAAGCTCTTTTAAAGTCCTTAAAATATAACTTAAGTAATTCTTGAGCATTACTGCTTATACATGATTATATATAAGTGACCTTAAATAACTTTATTAGAAAGAGCGCTATATTAATATAACTTCATCTTTATATAGCTAATAACTAAAAGCGAAACTTCTAAGAAGATTCATCCTTAAAGACCTCTAGATAAAGTAGCTTCTCTGTCTTCCAAAGGGTTGGTTGGGTAGAACAGGAAGTGCAGTGAACAATACTAAGATGTCTTCAACTTAGGTATGAGCTGATAACATGAGTTGACTACGAAGACTATGAAACTATCTGGGAAATGAGCGTGCTTATATAGGCTAAGAGATTCGTGCTCATGGCTGCTCACTCATGAGCGCTCGTGAGCGTTGCTCATCAGTCCCTCCTCACGAACACCTTGCTCAAGGTTGTCTCCGCATGAGCGTGTCCTTTCGCCAAGCCCCTTGGGCTTGGTTAGTTCCAGGGTCTCCTCACACAGGGTCCGTGCAGCCTCCAAGGCCTGTCGGTGCCTAGTGCGTTCACGTGCTGTAACATTTATATTAAGTACTATCAAGGGGCTCAGAGTCGCTTCCAACGAGGCCTGCCTTTAAGGCAGCGACTCTCATTTTGTTGAAGTCCCTGATAAAGATTTCACTCGAACTTACGGCTTTAGTATCGCTATAACCTTATTGCGGAGGTTCTGAATGATCTCCTCCTTGTTACAGAGTTAATCCTTTAGAGCCTTAATCTTGATGCTAGTGCCTTTGTCAAGGTCTTAGTATCTTTCTTCCTAAGTTTCCTTCTCCTAGAGGACTTCTTGATGCTCGGCCTCCTTCTCTAGATGAAGGGCTTTTTCTTCCTCGTAGGCAGCTGCTAATGTTAGTACAAACGCCGCTACATGTGTCTAATTCTCGTTAACTAATGCTATAAAGGCTGGAAGAGCTAGATGGATCATCTGTTGCTCTCTCTCCAGGCTATAAGTTCTTAGCAGCACATAACGTGTGGGGCTTCGGTAAGGTGATGTATGATATGACGACATTGTCCTGGTCAGATGAACTGGACGAGAAGATGTACAAGTCGACCACGGAAGCAGAGTACTACGGGAGTTTGAATGAGCACGCTATCCCTGAGATCAGGACGAACAAGAAGCCGGAATATTCCTCTGCCCTACGAGATTTGATCAGAGAGTGCCTACACATAGAGATTGGTAAGCGACCGACGCCGCAACAACTTCTAGAACGTACGCTGCGCGGACTCGAAGCAGCCGCGCAATCCAGGCTACAGGGCGCAGATGACCACGATGGCCCCAGGGTGTATCATATGGGTAACGAGATCAACCACATGCTCCGTGGAGATGCAGGACTGCCCGCCCAACGGTCTGACTGGAAGGCTATCAGAGAGCAATTTTGGATGCATCCACATTGGGAGCCTCTCTTGTCAGGACGGTGGGCACCGCAGGTGCGAAGCGGCGAGTTGGCCAATCAACCAATTGAAGATGGTGGACCTAAGCGTCCGGTTCGGCCATTTGCTGGTAGTGTCCGGGCAGATCCGCGTCCAATAGACAACTTTCAGAATCATCGGGGTGTGATCTGGACACTTGGTTCGTTGTCTCCGGAAAGAGATACACCAGGCAATAATGGGGAGAGTGACGGCGATGATCAGGGAGACTTAGGACATCCATACAACCCCGGAGAGAACAGGCCGTTGTCAAGGCCACACGACACAGGGGAGCTCAGCCCTAGGCCAAATGAGGGCGATGCTGCAAGGCCACCTGATGCTCCTGACGATGCGCTTACGAGTGCAGAACGTACG